CCTCCTCCTCATCTTTCTTTTTTAGCAAGGTGAATTTAACAAACCATCAAATTGTTTTTTCACCTCACCCAACCGAATTAACCCAGTCTCTGAGTTGAAGTGGCCCCCTGTCAACTTAAATTGGGAAATCGCATTGCAAATGACCCTTGCCCTGTTTCTCAAAGAGAAAGTGCAGCTTTGGCCAAGCCCGCCCCAGACCAGTGGCGCTAGGAGCATGGATTGGGGACCTGAGGCAATCCAACTGAAGTCTGTAGCTGAACCTTCCTCAGAGACCCTGAGTATATTATTTCCTTATCTGTACCCACAAAGGATATATAGGAAGATATAAATGAGAAAACGCCTGTGTTGAGAACAGTGGCCTTGTACACAGTAATTATATTCATCCTTTTGTAATTATTCCTATTAATTATCATTATTAATTATTTATTATTTCCATTATTATCATTTCTTAAATCCAACCTGAAAGGCAGGGACTTTGTTTATAAACTGCTATATTTTGCACTTAAACACTTCCTCTTGCACATGAAAACAATAAGAATGTTCAAATTGGGATGACTCAAAAGTTGTTGTGATATGGGTTTATAGCTCACAGGAAGCTGTGAGCTAGCTAAACTTTTATCTTGACTGTTTACCTCAATTACAACTTGCAATAATATTGCTCTAGAGTTGCCTTCATGGATTGTCACTTTTGTAATAGGCGTTTTATTTTCTTTAGGATAAATGACTTCTAAAATAAAGTGATTAAAAATATCACACTGAATCTCACTGCAGTGAACAAACTCTGTTCAAGAGTTCCCTCTGAGCCTGTTTTCCCTTCTGTAAAATATAAGGGTTGAGTCAGATTTAGAGTCCCAAGCCAAACCATACAACGGATAGGTAAACCGGAGTCTCCATCACAAACTCCATCTTTGGAGAGAGTGGAAGAGGAATAAAGCTGCAAATGGCAATTACGGCAGTGGGAGATGGGATGGCAGGCCCCGGACTGGGGAAAACTCACCTAAAGAATATGATCTCTGACCTTTACAGTCCTGGAGATTAAAAAGTCTATGTGAGCACTGAACATCTGAGTCTCAAAAATATGTTTGTCTTTTAATCTGATAATTTGGTTTAGTATGAATTCTCATTCATTCCAGTGTATGTACTTGTTGTAAACATATACATAAGTTTTTACAAAAACTTACTAATTCGAAAGCTGTGATGATTAATTTTATCTGTTGACTTGGCTAGGCCACGGTACCCAGATTTTGGTCAAACACCAGTCTAGATGTTGCTATGAAGATATTTTTTTAAGATGTGATTAATATTTAAATCAGTAGACTTTGAGTAAAGCAGATTAGCCTCCATAACATGCGTGGGTCTCATCCAATCAGTTGAAGGCCTTAAGTAAAAAAAGACCAAGGTCCCCCCAAAGATGATGAAATTCTCACTCCAGGCTGCCTTTGATCTCAAGCTGCAACACCAACTCAATCTCCAGCCTGCTGACCTGCCCTGTAAACTTAAGATTTGCTGGTCTCCACAATCAATTCCTTATGATAAATATGTCTCTTTCTGTATATAGGTATGTGTATGTTTGTATATTTCCTATTGGTTCTGTTTCTATGGAGAACCCTGACTAATACACAAACTATAATAAAACCACACAATCATTTCACCTCATCAGCAGTTCTTACATTGGAAAATGAAAACAACAAATTAATATACAAATTTCAACATCAGAAATTTCATTTTGCCCAAATAGAGACATAATCTTGGAATTCAATCATATTTAAAGAATCAGTTACTATCGTATAAGAAAAACAACTATGATAACTAATATCTTTGTGGTGCAAAACTGTCATTTGTTCTCTTCAGCAGTGATTCCAACCTCAGACTCAACTGCCTCTGGAGAAGATATTCAGCAAGTTTTTCTTCACAAATAGCAGCCATAAGGATTACTTCTTCCCATTTTTGCACAGAATTTATCTCAAAACTGGGACCCAAAGTGCTCAAAGCAAATGAAAGATAAAACAAATGGACTGTCCTAAGGCCAGTGAGCCAGTGGAACCATGGCTTCTCCTGGACCAGTCCATTCATGAGCTGACAGAATTTTAACTATTTAAATATAAAATTCCAATAATTTAAAAAATCGATTCAAACATAAGCTACATTATTTCTCTATGAACAGGGAAACTTAAACAGTTGCCAGGAGACAAGGAGAGAACCACTGTCGCTTTAGCCCCGCTTCTCTATTTCCATTCGGGTGGAGCGTTGGCTTCTCCCTCTCCTCAAGTCTCAGTATCTTTTCATGAGACCAGGACAGTGCCAAAGAATGTGGCCATTTTGTGAGCCCCGCCCCCCCAAGCCAAAGAAATGGTCCCTCAGTTAGGACAGGTCCTTCCGCAATTAGAGAAAAAAGGCTGAAACCACATGGTATATTTCAGCACCCTACAACGTGATTCTGAGAACACACAAACTTACTCTCAACTGAAGTACCTAGTTTGGTACTAAATACTCCCCTACTCAAGCCATAATTTACATCCTAAGAGTAACCAACACAGTAAAAAACAGAGAATGAAATCAATACATCATGGTCTAATTGCACAAAATATTAAGATGCTATTCTTCATGAATTTTCACCAGAAATGAGCTTCAAAACATTTAATCATTCCTACTAAACACCTACATGTGTTAGACAGGCACCAATAGCAGCAACTTTCTTATTCTTAAGCATTTAAAAGCAAGAGAGTTTTCAATCCATAAGCTTCATAGAGGCCCAGTTAGAGCACAAGGAAACAAGGTCATGGCTGAGAACAAGAAATTGTCAAATGGAAAAAGTTCTAGGCATTGATGCAGCAGAACTTCTACACTTTCTAATTCCTGGAAAACCCTGTCTGGTCTTATGTCAAAGGCTGTACTTTGGCAGAAGTCAAATATAACTTTAAAACAATAATGAAAGTAAAAAAAATCCAGTTTCCCTCCTCAATGTTTTATTTTCCAGTCTTGCCTACCCAACTTTCCTTTCCTTTCATCTTGAAATGTCTTGAAGAATATTACTTGTAGTAATTAAATTTCCTTAAATAGCTTTTCCTTCTATCTTTCCAATTCAATTGCAAACTTTCACTGCCCTTTCCCCACTTCCTTCCTTCTCTAGAAAAATGTTTTGGGCTATCTGGAGATGTGATCACCTTCCCAGTCTCATCTCTTTTACAGTTACTTCTGTGGGGAACTGTGTCTGATATTGTTCTCTAATTATTTGAAGATTAATATACAATTGCCCCAATGAAACACGAAGCTTCTTGAGATAAAGTAGCAAAGCTGATACTTCTTTTGAAGGGTCTACAGTACTTAGCTTAGTGTTAATACAACAAACAATAAACCCGCGTTGAATTGAATTCTCCTTTCCTTGAAAGTTAAACCTCCTTGAAGTTCTCAAGTTGGTATTAGAATGAGAATTGTTAGAACTTAATAAATCAGTCTTCTCTGAGTGTCATTGAAATGCTTTGCATAAAGTCCAAAGCAAGGCCTTTTGTATAATCAGTAGCTTTAGTTTTTAATTCCAGCTGTGATAGAATGGTACCTTACCTTTCTTCCTTTTAGTAATTGTCTCTTGATGGTATGGACTCAGGCCCTATGTGAGTAGATCTGCCAAGATGGAGGCAACCATCTTGGAATTTTTAAGTTATTTATATATAGATGCTTTTATTATTACCTTCCATAATAAAAGCATCTATATATAAATAACTTAAAAATTCCAGATCCTCCAAGGTTGGAAATCTCTGGGGAGAAGAAAAAAAGACCCTATGAGTGAAGAGAGACTGAAGAAGTCTAGGGAGAGAATATTCTCCTTCAAGGACAAGAGGCTCCTCAAAAAATTAAAAATAGAGCTACCATATGATCCAGGAACTCCACTTCTGGGTATTTATCTGAAGGAAATGAAAACACTAATTCAAAAAGATATCTGCATAATTATTGCAGTATTGTTTACAATAGCCGACACATGGAAGCATCCTAAGTGTCCATCTTTAGTTGACTGAATAAAGAAAACTTGGTATATATGTACAATGAAACATTATTCAGCCATAAAAAAGAAGGAAATCTTGCCATTTACGACAACATAGATGGAATCTTGAGGACTTTATGCTAAGTTAAATAAGTCAGATAGAAAAAGACAAATACTATACGATCTCACTTATATGTAGACTCTTAGAAATTAAAAAAAAACAACAAAAAAAAACAAAACTCATGGATACAGAGAAGAGATTGGTGGTTTCCAGAGGCAGGGAAGTGGGGTTTGTAAAATGGGCAAAGGTGGCTAAAAGGGACAAACTTTCATAAAATAAATAAATCATGGATATAATGGATAGCATAGTGACTATAGTTAATAAAACTGTATCGTGTATTTGAAAGTTGCTAAGAGAGTAGATATTAAAAGTTCTCATCACAAGAAAAAATTTGTAACTATGAGTGGTGATGGATATTAATTAGAATTATTGTGGTGATTTCAATATATACAAATATTGAATTATTCTGTTTTACACACGGAACTAATTTAATGTTATATGTCAATTATACCTCGCTTTTAAAAATATGGTGAAGTACTCATCAAAAAAAAAATATGTCTGTGTTGGGAGATCCATAGCTGGCGTATTAAATTAAGAATATGCAGATTAAAGTTTGCCTGCTTGCTAATAAATATTTGAGCATGTGGCAAAAAAAAAAAAGTGTGCAGATTATGAC